TTTTATCAGTACCTGTAGTAGTGGTCCATGGGTAGAGGATAGAGATGGGGAGGATGAAAATGTAACGATTTTAAGTTTTTAACTGTTTAAATTCATATGTTAAAACTTAATGTATTAAAATTATTAACCTAGTAATAAAAAAAATGTTACCTATCCGGCCTAAATGGCGACTATTAATGGATTTTATAAATAATAAACTTCTAATAAGTATTAGCTATAGGTAATAGTATTAACGTGGTGTACGTATTATAGTTGGTAGTAGGTACTTACTAAAATATTATAAATTACTTATATGTTATTACTTATTATATTAATACTAACATCATTAGCCCGTCAAGCTTCACTTTCAACAGTATAGATATCTATTCTAACATAACCTATAAGTTTGGTATATACAGTTTTCTATGAATTTCTAACTCAAAATAATTTGAAATTTTTCGTTATTTGAATGACTTTTGTCTACATTTAAGTCTAGACCAGTGGTTCCCAACCTCTTATTTTACGCTCTCTTTGTAGATTTTTGAAAATCTCACACCTCACAAATTAAAAAAATTATTTTATGGACGTCACGGTCGTGGTGGTAAAAAAACGATAGTAATAACTAAACAATAATAACTAACCTCCCCAGTAATGTTTACACGCCTCCCAGGTTGGAAACATTGATCTAGACGTTCATAAAAGTTATTGTGGATTTATGGTTAACTTTTTTTTTTAATTTACACTAACAACAAAAATGTTTATCGACAATAATTGAAAAAAAAAAATGAAGACAATTGAAATTTTCACAAAATATTTACATGTATGCATTTCCCATGTATGGTAAAATTTTCGAAGTATTTTGAATCTTTTTGAGGTATTTATAGCCTTAAGGATATTTTTAATTTTTTTAAATTTATTCTCGATAAAAATCACTTAGTAAAAAAGCTTGAAAATGTAATGCAATGTTCCTCATAACTCATAAGTTTCTTTAATCGAAGTTAAAAATATTTAAGATACATAGTATTCACGATTATTTTTTGTATTCATTTAAGTTCAAATTTTGACAAAATTCATCAAAATCTCGAATTTTTTCAAATTTATTTTTCAGTTAGAAATCTATAAAAGTTTTTCTTTTCATAGCTAACATTAGAAATGTTAATAAAAGATTATTTTGTTTGATAGCCGCCACTGCATCCTCAATTTATCCTCTGTTTCCCCTGATACAGTGGGTTTATGGTCACATCCCCGTATTACATTTCCCCGTCCTCGTTTCCCCGTCGGACATTTCCCCGTCTAATTCAAATTTAAAATATAATTACTGTAATGTAAGTGCCCTCACAGTTATTTCCAGGCTTGGGACTGGCAACTCATACTTAATACGTAATGAATTGGCGGTTTACACTTTCTTTTTTGTTGTTACCTTAAAGTTAAAACTAATAAAACTTAAAAAAGTTATGTCTGTTTATTTATATCTAACATATTAAAATTAAAAAACTAAAACTAAAACCTACGAGTGATCACTACTATTGAGCTGATGCTAAATATTATTTTTATTTTTGCATCTCTAAATTATGTGCTATTCCAATTAAATATTCTTTTTTATCGCGATCATTGTAAGTAGTTACAATATTTTTTATCCGTGTGGCTACTTCTCGATATTTTTTTCTTTTAGCTGGTGGTTCTTGACCAACCATCAACTGGTTAATTTTTATTTCAGTTAATCCTTGTTCTTTTATAAGGGTATCAATTAATCGCCATATAGTTGGGTGAGTTGCGGCTAACAAAGATGAAAAAGCTTTATGCCAACCTTCGACTGAATTATTTGTTTTAGGTAATCCTTCAAGTGTCGCGTCATATAGGTTCCATAAATCTAGACTAAATATAGGTGGCCGACGGATTCTTCGTCTTGTTGGTCTATCAATCCACGTATCTTCAAAGTAATCAGTTAGTGGACGCAAAAGCTCTTCGTGTTCTACAAAAAAACTTTGTGACATTAGTTCGTCAAATGTGTCTACGACATCAGGTACTGGAATGAAAGCTAATGCCATTAATTGCTTTATGTTTAAAGCAAAATCTGCATCTGAAATATATTTTTCACGAATATCAGAAATAGTCTGTATTTTTCGCCATATACACTGCCCAAAGTGAAAAAAACACCCTCTAATTTTGGTGTTTGTAAAAACATCAATAAATGCACCAAATAATGCTTGTTCAAAATCGGTCATAATAGTTACTGGTTGTAGGTTTTTATTTAAATTTAAAAGTTCTCTTGCTCCTCGATCATAACTATCTTTTGTTTTATTTGGAAGAAGCGCAAACACCAACGGCAAAACTGTGTTGAATTTTATAGCATGTATGGTAAGAAGCTGAGTAAACAGGTGCGGGGATGATTTAAATGTACCATCGATAAACCAGTGATAATATTTTCCAATTTTCGTCTGTGGAAAATAATAAAATCCTATTATCATTACCAACACCGCTGTCATAAATAATGAATGGATCATTAATTAGTGTACGCGTATATGGCTCAATAAGAATCAATTCTGCTAAAGTTAAAGGATTTGATGGGGGAGCATTTTCTCGACGTCTGATTCTTTGTACAATTTTTTTCATAGCTGGCACTGAAGGTAAAGTAGCACATATTGCTTGAGATGAAGATGGGATTTGAGAAATTACTTGATGCGGTGTAGCTTCAATTTGACTAGTTGCCGTTTCTTTTACTTTTTGTATAAGTTTCTTAGCACCAATTTCTGCTGCATTTGGTATGTGATTGTGTTCATCTTTGTGGTGTACAACTGCATCTTTAGTGTGTGCTCGTCCAAGACACTTATCGGTATTATATTTTAAACATTTCCAATACGTCTTACCATTTTTTGTATAATCTTTTTCAAATACATATCCTACAAACACTAACAAATCTTTTCCTTTAGAACTTTTAACGTACTCTAAAACCATAATAGATATTGTATAAATTTGTTTAACAACAAATTAAAAATTAAATATTAAATTTGAAAAAAATAAAATTATAAATTAATTATATATATTATATTATAAGAACGACGCGCGACGGTTGTCGAATATCGAAAGACTGATTATTGTGTAATGTGTATACTACTATAATGTTTACCTTACAATCTGTCATTTATATCTTCTCGGTTGCTCTTATCTTAATAAAATATCTCTTATCTTCATAAAACTAACGTACTACGGCAACGGAATTGTCGCTAACTGTATAGCTAATCTACAGTATGACAATATTACTTATTGACTATTGTATATAATCTATATTGTGATGTATCTACATTTGTGTAACTAAATTAAATTGAATTAGACGGGGAAACGGTGACGGGGATGTGACCTGCTACCGATACAGTGACACCACAGAACTATTTATATTAGGATTAAGCAAATTGATTCGAAAACAGTTACATATATTATTTAATATACATGATTGATGCATAATAATTAATAATACTATAATATTTTTATATTTTATAAAGGTGTCTTTTAAAATTTAAAGCATAGAGTACTGCATTATCATCCGATCAAAGCATCAAAAATCATTAACGCATGTGTTACCTATACTCATGTACCAGAACCAATTGATGAGATAATAAATGATGTGGATTTGGGTATGTATTATGTTGAAGAAAATCATTTGAATCTTCAACAAGTGAATCAAGCCTTATTAGCTGGTCGTATGATGCAACATCAAATAATCAATAATTATTTTATGTAGTTACATAATTAGTTCATTTTTGTTATATTATGATGAAACAAGTAATCTATATTAATTTTGTACCAGTGTGACTTGTTATTTTTTAATTGATTCTACAAGTATTATTTTGTTTACTACAATACCTTTAGAAAGTTAAATAGGAATAATTAGAAAATTACAGTAACTTAGTAACAATGAGGAACGTGTCAACTATGAGGGAAAAAAAATTAAATAGGAATTAGGATATACAAAGGATGTTGCAATGAGTATTTATTTATTTATTTATTTATTTATTTAGATTTGATACTAAAATATTTAACTGCTCTGCTATAGCTTCTTTGGCCTCAACATCTCTCAACTTAAGTTTTAACTTTTCTTTATAATGCATGGCTTTTAGCTCTAACATTCGGGTAGTTGTATCACTTAATTTTTCAGTAGCTAGAGCGGCATTTGTTAATTTTGATTTCTTACCAAAATATTTAGAAAAGTAAATTCATGATTAATATAATTTAAAATATTATAGTTAGTAAAATATGCACCATTAATATAATATATAGTAGAATAACATGCAATAAGAAAGCAAAGAAGAAGAACCATTGTACTTTGAAATATTTGAACAAATATTTCAAAAGCTCCTTTTTGGACTTACTGGACAAAGGGAAATTATAAAAATAGATCTAGAAAAGTAAATAAATGGTTAATGTAATTTTAAATAGTATTAAATAGTTAAATACCTATTATAGTTAATAGAACATGCATCGTTCAAATAACAGCATATCATGCAGTAGGAAAGCAAAGAAGGAACCATTGTATTTTGAAATATTTAAGCAAATATTTTGGAATTATTGGACAAAGAGAAATTATAAAATGTGGGATGGACTTAAAAGAAATGTAATATAACTATAAGATAAAAAGATGAACAAATGGAAATGAAAAAAGTTAGATGAAAAGAGAAGCAATAATCAACACAATTATACTACCTGAACATTTGACTATGGCTTGTTGACTCTGTAACTTATGGAAAGTTAAGAGGATGATATTCAATTACATGCGTTGTCTCCGTTTATAAAACATTCAATTTAACAAATTCTACATCCACATTAATTAATGTCTCTTTATATATTTAAAAATTATATTGAATAGACCTATTAAAAAATGTAAAGAAATTTTATATCTAGGGCATATAACGTAATTTGTAAATTTTAAAATTATTATAACTTGCTTCAAAATCAAATATCAATAAAAACCTCTAAATTGAATTAGATACCTACTTAATAACCTTACCTTTAAATTTTATAATAGGTCAATTCGCTCTAATTTTAAAAATAACAGAGTAATATGGATTAGTGTGAACATAACATTTGTGATGTTGTATAATGTTTGTAGGACGAAGACAACACATGTGTAAGTGGTGTCCTCTTAAGAAATTAATCATAATTGAACTATAACTTATTAAATGTATAATCACTAGATGTGGACTGTAGGTAGTATACCTAGTTATGTGATAAATATAAAAATATAAATATAAATGTTTGGAATAATACTCATAAAAACTTCTTACTGATTGTGGGCATTTTGTAATTCCTCTTCAAAAGGTTTATCCAAACTTCTTTTTTTAACAGTACCAGTAAATTGGTCAAACGGATCAGATTCACTAATTTAATTTAAATAATACATTAATTGAATTTAAAAAATAGTAACCTACATAAAAATAATAATAAATATAAATATTTACTTTGCTTTTTCAGTACTATCTTGCTCATTGCTGTTATTTGAATTTACAGAAATAGTAATGACATCTAAATTATTACTATCTTCTTCTGCATGCATATTCACTAAAACCAACTCCTCTGTATCTAATTCATTAGCTGTAGCTAAAACGTTATCAGTGTTGTCATTCAAAAATGCAACAGTACAAGTACTCTCTGTGACAGTGTCATGACCATGAATAGCTAGTATGTATAGCAGTATGCCCTAAAATATTCAATAGTTGTTCATCAGCTTGGTCAATGCACTCTTCATCTTGTTTTTCACTTCCACCAGTCTTGTTATAATGTGATTTTGAAGAGACTTTTTGTTTTGCAGCCGATTTAAAGTATTGAAAACACTTAACATTAAATTATACCTTTTTATTTTTTTGTAAATAATTGAAAATTAATATACAACTATTGATCTTATTATTGCCTTTCTCCATTCAACCCAAGTTTTTTTGGGTCCAATTGTTTCGTTCAGAGTATTGGTAATATTTTGCCACAACAACTGTGAATCCTTCATGGTAAAAGAAGGTCCAAACTTTTTGGTATTTAATTTTGGATGCTTATGAACAAAATCAATTAGTAATTGTTTTTGCCCATAAGTTACACTTTTGGATTTTTTTTTGTTTCCATAACCGTGAAAAAAAATGGAAAAAGTATGAAATAGCACTATGTCACTATCGACTTGACTCTATAGAATTCTAAGGAGAAAACTCAAAAACTTAGAAGACCACAAAAACGCAAAGGCCGAAGAAAAACATTAAAAGTAATAGGTATATAAGTAAAAAGTAATATCTTATTATCATCGTATTTTACATTATATTTTTATTATATATGAATGATAAAACTAATTCAATTTACAGTACAGCCAATAGATTTTTAGATATCGCACTAATAATTATTAGTTTAAAAAACAAAAGATTAGACAATGTGCAATTAGTTAAAGAATATTAGATGGAAAAAAAATGAAATTCAAAAATACAAATTTTAGTTAGTGCACTAAAATCATCGTCTAATTGATAAGTGTACTAAAGTATTCGCCAATGATTAGTGCGAACTCAAAAATAGACCCCCTGGTCGGTTTCGGGCCTGATTCCATCTGATCAGCGTCCCTGGGTAGTGTTGATGGGTTCCTGGTCATGGTTGGTTTTGCGGGTATTGACGCAATCGTAGCTTCTACTAGATTCTTTGTTCTTAATACATTCTCTGCTTGTTGAAACACCTCCATTCCATATTGATCAGTTTCTTCATCATATTGTCGCTTATTGATACGGGCAGCCACTTGTCTTTGAAATTCTGCTAGTTCTTTTGCATGTTATCTTTCGTCATATGTGATTCGTTCGGTAGCGATCTTTCATCATATGTGATTCGTTTGGTACCGAACTTTACTACTTGGAAGTTAATTGGTGCCTCGTCAATGTCGCTGTAAGGTAATTCAACGATATCGGAGTAGTGGTCGTTTTCATCCCCACTAAAACTGGTGTCGTCCCATTGCTCGGTCCTCTCTTCACTTCCAAATGTGTCCATTAGCTTCTTCTTCAACGCCTGTTGTTCTTTGATGGTCTTCTCGTCTTCACTAAAACCATCTTCTCCAAAAAGTGTCAAAGTACAATTTTAAAACTGGATATATTTCAATAATTCTGGTTGTAAGGATAGCCATCTTGTCTTTACACTTCCAAGTAAGTTGTTGTACTGTGTATTTGTGAAATCACAAAATTCTTTTAATGCTTCCACTCTCACAGTACAAATATAAAAGTATTGAAATATTTTATTAACGATACATTCGATATCAACAGGTAAGATGTCTGTACTAGTTTGCATAGCGTTGTGCAGAATATGCACAACCAATTCCAGAAATGTTAGTCTTTAAATTATTGTTCAAAATCGTAAAAACATTTTTTGTTCCCCTCCTTGCAGCACCTCCAAAATTGGTATTACAGTTGTCACCGGTAAATTCAATAATTTTGTGAGATAATTTATGTTTTGTTAAAATGTCTATAATATAAGATGACAATATATCTGAAGTTTCTCCTTTCAAATTTGTGAATTCTAACACTTTTATTTGAACTCCCGTTTTAGGATCAAAATATCGAATAAGAATGGGGACAATTTTTAAATTCTTATGATTTGAAGTGTCAATCATAATTGTCGCAAAGTTAACAGCCTTTAGTTGGTCTATTATTTGATCCATTGCAAAAGGAGCCAATACATTCATAATAATTGATTCACACTTGGTACGCGCACAAGAAAACTTTTTTATTAAAGTAGTAGTACAATCCATTGACCTAAAAGAATGGTTATGTACTATAGTGTGAAATGCAAACATTCCCTCTTCTGCTGCAATTTACCTTAATAACCTTCAGTAGTTAAGCCAGCTGGTCCTTGTTTAATAAAATGTGAAGTTACCTTGTCACTTTTTGAAGCACTATATAAGGCCGACCTATGCTTTTTCTTTTCCAAATGCTGTTTGATATCTGATCGTCCTAAATGTTCGATTGAAAATACTGCCTTGCACACCGTACAAAACACTTTTCCATTTTCTTCACAATTTTTTAGAAAAGTAAATTCAGACTGTAAAGATACAGTGAATGCACATCTCCTCTTTGGCATTTAAAAAAAAAAAATAATGCACCAACCCACAAAATGTAAAGAAAAAAGACGATACGTAGTGGCTATAATAAACGCAATCACTTTACTCATAAATAAGTATATATAATAGATAGGCAACTCCTATGACCTATGTTATAAAAATGAACCGTGTTCCAGCGCTCCAAGTGGTTGTACGACAATACTAAAACAGCATTACCATCAATAGTCTCTGACATCGATAGTTTACGATATTTTCAACTTTTACTATCCATAATATTATCGATAGTTTTTTTTTTCTAATATATTTTATTTTAGTTATTAATAACTATAATGCTATACGAATCGTTAAAAAACGTAATGAACAACGTGATATAAAAATATTGCGATAGTAATAAATAATTAGGGGCCAGAGTGGCGCAGTGGTCACGCAGTTGACTACGACTCACACAGTCATCGGTTCGATTCATAGCTCAGTGCAAAATAAATTTGTGTGGTTCTACGCGATCACCATTTCCCCCTGCTGTCGTCCGATTGCGTCATCTGGTTTCCAACTAGGTCCCACTCCACTGGGAGTGAAGACCGCACATGCCTCCTCTTGCAGGAGAAGGGGGGTAGTATCATGCATATAGTGATATATACATAGATAAATAGATCACATGATCTCCCTACTACCCACTTGTGATAAGCATTGACGAAGACCTAGAGGTCGTTTCAATGAACAAATAATAAAAAAAAAAAAAAAAAAAAAAAAAATAGTAATAAATAAAAATAATACATTTTCTAGTAGGATATAGTAGGATACCATATTTTATTAAAGTAATATTATTATCAATACACATAATTTAGTAATAATACTTAAATAATAATTGAAAAAACAGTACCTAAGTAATTTATAATACAATATAAATATTTTATAATACAATATCGATGCAAGTAATTTAGTAAAAAACCATAAATGTTTAAATTAAAAATATGTAATATTATTAAAAATATATATATACAATGCAATACCAATGCAAATTATTCAGTAATACTATATCAACTCGACTACCATATAAAATTAATTATAAAAAAAAAACAATACATTCTATTAAATAATGAGAAAAATAATAGATAACAGACTTAGTGTCAAACATATAACATAAGTGATTCGTCATTTGAAAATACAAAATTAACGCAAATAATTTAGTACAATTGCATAAACAATTAAATTAACAATAAGTAATATTATTTAAAAAATATATTATATACCATAAAATCATGCAATATTATAGAACTAGTAATAAAAATATGGATTAGTGAATTTGTTCATTAAAATTAATTATAAAAAAAAAAACAATATAGTCTGTTAAATAATGAGAAAAATAATAGATAACAGACTTAGTGTCTAACATATACGTATACCTAACATAAGTGATTTGTCATTTGAAAATACAATATTAATGCAAATAATTTAGTACAATTGCATAAACAATTAAATTAACAATAAGTAGGTAATATTATTTAAAAAATATATTATATACCATAAAATCATGCAATATTATAGAATATAATAATAAATATGGATTAGTGAATTTGTTCATTAAATTAAGTTCATTCAAATTAATTATAAAAAAAAAAAAACAATACAAAGTGTATTACAATTGGTTATATTTACCACGAATAATTTTCTTTTTTGAATGTTTAGTATACCATTCATGGGCAATTTTTTTGATAGGATCATTATTTCCTTTTGTCAATGAACGTTTACCATGCAGTATACGGTTAACACTGGTGCACCAGTGGTTGATCAACAGCTTCACAATGGAATTCGCAATTTTGCTTTCAAATATTTCATCGTGGTTTGGGCAATGCAATATTGATAAATCATAATTGTCCATAATTTAATTTATCAATATCACTCCTATTTCAGGAGAGTGGCATTTAGTTGGTAAAATACCACTTACATACATCATTACATTATGAATTAAAATTCGAAAATCTGTCGCAGGGTATTTCAAAAACATCATTTTATTGCCTTTATATTCTCGGGCATCGATCAATTCATGTTCTTGAGTTACCTGATTAGAACAAATTTTCTTCAAACATTCATCACAGTTTTTTAAAATTTCCTGATTTAACTTTTTGACAATATTACCAGCTATATATGTGTGAGTTAAATTGGTTAAATGATTAGTTTGAGTATCTAGCTGTTTTTGAGTTTGTATCGGTAAATCAACAGCTAGTTTCACTGGTGTAGGTGGTTCTTGGTTGCTCAAAAAAAAATTCTGGTAAGAGATTAATGTATTTTCGGTGAAATCTTCACAGTTGGCTTCAAGTTTCAACATTCCTTCAAGTTGAATTTAGTAGTAGAGTTTTGTACGCTTATATAAATGAGTTGCAAGAAGGATTTTCACAGCCAAGACTCCGCACACCACCAAAAAAATTTTCGATTGGGTCTTGGTTCAAATGCCTCAGAAGTATTGATTTAATACCGATTTCTGTGAATAGTTTTGATAATGTTTGAAACCCTGTGAACAAAACGAGTGCAAATGTATTAATATTAACCATCTGTGAATTTTATACTAACATTAATTAAGAACAGTTATACACAAGCTTAGTTTATTTTTACTGTAAGTAAAATCAGAGAACTATGGAGATAATTGATATATTGTTTATTTGATTAATTTCTATCGCTCTATTATATGAGACAAAGTATCGAATTTTTTTTTTCATTTATTCAATAGGTGTTAGTAATGCGGCTATTCTATAACATATAATTAAATTAGGAAGATCATTTTTATTCTTATTTTAGGTATTCTTTTAACTATTAATACTTTAAATTAATCACTAGAAAACTGTTGAAAGTACATAATATAATTAACATACCTTTTATTGTTGTTATCCAATTTTTAATTGTAGGGACATTTACACGTTTGCCATTTGGTGTATAAAAGCATATAGAACTGAATACTTTTAAACTATCTGACCATAATTAGCTGGATTTAGACGGAGATGATTAAGCAGAGTTTTAGAACGTGCCGTTCCATCTCATGTATTTAAAACCTTGTGTGTAAATACAAGCAAATGATTTAGTAAATAATTTATAAAATTATAGATTTTTAAGTAAATGACAAATGCAAGTGATAGATTGTGTGTCTAAATGATTCGACGTTTGCTTCTGTCTTTTCAAAAAAAAAACAGACAGGACATGCCATCCTTTGCTACCAGTGGGAGCGTTTAAACACACAGTCCATCCTTTTACTAAAATCTGCAGTGCTTTCAGGGAGGCACCACTTGGCTACTGTTTGCCACTGTTATTGTTTGCTACTGTTTGCTACTGTACGTCTGTACCATGTTTACCATGTACACATTCAGTGTCGTAGCCAGGATTTTGAAATGGAGGGGGGTTTAGTATAAATTTAACAAAGTTTTTAACATTTTCGTATATTAGTAATACATTTATTAGAGGAAGAGGAAAAAATATCAAAGGGGGGGGGGGTGGGCTTAAACACCCAAAACCCCGCCTGGCTACGCCACTGTACACATTAGTATTTAGTACTCTACTACTTCCGGAGTTATCATTAAATATAATTAGGGGTTGTATAAAGACGTGCTGATGATCCTCCGCATAACGAATTGTTGGTACAAATTAGTACCATCGGTTTTGACTTCGCTATAGTGCTTGTTTGTAATCTTCGTTCCATTGATATTGCTTTACTCGTAAAAAAAGTTACTAGGTTTTCTTAGTAGGGGATGCTCTGGAAATTCTAAAATGAGTACAGCCCTTAGAGTCGTAACGGAAGCTGCTTGTGATTAATAGGTAAAAATGATCTATAAGTGCCATTTAGTTATAATACCTATTAATATATTACTGCAAACTGGTTGCCAGTTGGTATTTTGAAATTTTATTGAACTGAAAAAATACTTATCGTGTACTGTGTAGGTACACTAAAAAAGAACCCTATGGCCCATAGATATTAAAGATTATTATTATCTGTGCTATGGCCTATGCATCGAGGGGCTCATGTAAACTCCACCGATTGCGACCTTTTTAGACCTTTTTTCATGTAAACTCCACCGGTACGTTTTTTTTTACCTGAAAAAAAAATGTAAACTCCACTGGTATGTTTTTTTTTTTTAAATTGTAATCCAAATCCAATCTGATTAACTAAGATTACATAATTTATGTGGGTGCAGTTTTATTATAATATATTTATTGTATTTAAATACAATGATTTAAAAAAAAATCATATAAAAATCAAATAGAAAAAAATAGAAAAATCTATAATTATTAATAATATTTAACAATAATTTTAAAAAAAAATCATATAAAAATCAAATAGCAATAATAGAAAATTGAAAAATATATAATTATTAATTAACAATAATTAAAAAAAAAAAATCATATAAAAATCAAATAGAAAAAAATAGAAAAATCTATAATTATTAACATTACGTTATAGGTAATACGTTCCTACATAATTTATGTACAGATTTATTATTTATATATATTATATTTAGATACTTAGATATCTTTTTTTACACAATATTAAAATAAATGATATAATAATAATTAATAGTGATCACTAGTTCGTAGTTAAAATAATGTTAATTAAAATAAATGAATAAAAAAATAATTACTTAAAGAAAATTTAGGTTTTAAAAAAATTTGTTTGGTTTTAAAATTTGGTTTGATAATGTTTAGATGCAGCTTTGACGAATTGCATAATGGTAATATTGTTTGCCTTAAATGACGAAATGATGGTGTTTAAATATTTTTGGCGTGTCTTTGATTGTGAATTTCTAAGGTTATTAGGTTCATTAATACTGTTTAATTAAATGTAAGTGAATGATTGAATATCTAGTAGAGCTTTTGTAAAGTGATGTAGATTTGGATGTGTGTTAGCAAAGGACTGAGCTAAATGTGAGTGAAACGACTTGCATGCATTCGTAGTTAAATTCAATTCAGCACTACATTGAGCCCAAATATTTGGTGGAAATAATGCTTCTTCTGTAATGTAGGTGTCTAAAATATAATCTTCAAATTGTGTTAATTTGGAGCTTTCGGGCTTTATAGACATTAATTCTATTGCAAAAAAATTAGAAACATCTTCAGAGTCTAAAAATACTAATCCAAAGCAAATTCTAAGCCAATCACCTACTTCGGTTTTTTTTTCATAATTTTCAGTTAAACCAATTCTTTGGATTGCTCTCCACCAACTTTGTGTAACATGAAACCTACAACCCATCAAGTTTAAGATAAGTCAGTCGAAAGTTGATGTGTATACACTATACATATAGTTTTAATCTGTGGATTTTACCATCGGTGGAGTTTACGTGTTTTCAGGTCAAAAATACGTATCGGTGGAGTTTACATTTTTTTTTCAAGTAAAAAAAATGTATCGGTGGAATTTACATGTTATAAATCCAACCCTAAAATCGACTACCTGTAAATCGGTGGAGTTTACAATCGCCCGCATCGAGGTATATAAGCCAAGGTGGATTTATATTATATATATATAATATATATCCACCTTGATATAAGCTATATACTATAGTATAGTTTATTTACCTCGATGGGCCTATGTAATATCATTGATTACAATATATACAATGAATATTAATTAATGATATAATATTAATAATGATATATATTGTTCTATGGTATTATCAATACATTTCCCGCAATTGTGTTTTTATCAAATATGTATTTCCCGCCAATTCATTGATGTATTATAGTGGATAATGCTGATAATGCTGATAATGTATAATTAAATATTATATTATTATTTATAATTATTATCAAAATAATTATGTTATAATACTAATTACTATCTTCATCACAGGTCTGTGGACAAAGATTATGATGCACCGAGTTTTTTGTAACAGCAGTACGATAATCTTTTCCTTAAACAACTTTACTGAAGCTTCCATTCATTGAGTCAAATAATGTATCAAAGAATAAAAATATATCTGCTGTATCTGTTGCACTGGGTTCAATTATACTTTTTGCTAAAGAAAAAAAACTTCATAATTTATACTATACTATACTCTTTGACTGAATACCTGAGTCGCGTAGCGTACTTTCATTTTGTATATTTTTTCGGGTACCACATGATTATCAGTCAACCTGGGCAACATTTTGGCATCTGGTATAGAACTATCAACACTATACAGCTGTTGTAAATGTTCCCACTTGGCAACACGTTTTGTACTGTTCATTTTGAAATGAAGTTTTTTGGTAATTAGGTTGTTCCTAGTACATTTTATGAGGTGCAGAACATCAAATAAGTGAATAATTTTCAATCTATCTCCATTTTCCAATGGCACCTCATAAAACTCTTCCCTATATACTTTGTCGGTTTGGTTTCGAAGATAATATGTCCGGGTCTCTTCATTCAACAATTTGATTGCGCCTTCGTTGCTTTTGCCTTGGTCACATATGGTTGATACTATCCTAAGACCCGTCTCGTGTACTTTCTGTATAACCTTTGATAGAAAATTTACAACATATAAAATAAAACAAATTTAGTTATTTAATTAAATGTTCAACTAACTTCTTTAAGCTGCCTCACTAACTCGTGCTGTTTAGTAGCACCCTGGCAAAATGAAAACGACACCGGCTGTTTAAATTTCTTTTTTATACCTCTAATCATAAAAACTAAAGCATGATCTGCTAGTTCTTGGCTTTTATAATGACCAGAATTTACAAAACCATCTATTTCATCGGTTGACGCATTTTGATGAAGTCCGCTACTCAACGTGATTTCATCAAATATTAGAGAACAGTACCTAAAAAAAAAGTATAATTTTAAAATTTTTTTTCAAATTTGAATACTTGCAACTTACCGCTCTATTGGTTTCAGTTTTTTAACATTCTCTTTTAGAACATTCATTACCACAGAGGAAATTCCCGGGCCAATATGTACACTACTAAGTATGTTATTCAATGTTCTTTTGCTAGGCAATGTAAAAAGTACAGACAGTAACCTATAACATTTTGGGCTTTTTTTTATAAATAGAGAGACTCAACATTTTTTCCTCCCATGTAAATCTGTGGCCTTTTTTCTTTTTTTGTGTTTCTCTAAGTTGCAAACGAGTGAACAACGAGGCAGCTGGGGTAATTTTATCAGCCAAATTTTTTTTTAAGTATGTGTCACTAAATTTTTCTGCTGCACGTAAGTGGTTCTTAAAAAGTTGTTTTTTACTATTCAAGCGCCGTTGTTTTTTAATCATCTGGCTTGTGATAGAATAAAAAATTTTACATCTGGGAGTGAGCTGCTTGCAATTTTGTAGACCTATGCTTGCTAATAATCCTAAAAGAATAAAATAGTATCAAGCAATGCAAAGTACACAATTTTCAATATGTTTATTTGGTTATCTAATAAAATTGTTCAAATTTCTATTTATGCATGCAATATACAAGTTACATATTTTGTTATCTAAAATCTAACTTTTTAAAATCATTATTTAATAATTTTTAATTCATTTTTTATACATTGGTAACGATATAAACAAATTACAACGATAGGTAAGTATTATGCATTGCATCGAAACCTAAAATTAATAAAAATAAAAATATTATTAACCTGATTTCCTCTTCACTACTGTATATTTTGGAGAATAGCAAGGTTGAGGAGTTTTAGTGACAGTTCTGGCATTATTAACAGCATTAGCATAAGCAAAATTACTAATTAAAGCATCGCTATCATCTATATAAAGCATTATTAATATAGCTGTGCACTTAATATTAATATATATTTTTAAATTATAAAACAAGTCAATTACCTATATAACATAGATTATAGGTGTCATACCCATTAAATCATTGTTCATGAATGAAGTTTATAAAACGTTTATTCCAGATAAACATGAATCATTCAACTTGGATTGTTCGCAAGAATCTCCTAAAATTTCAAAGCCAGAAGACACTGTTGGCTGTGGAGTAGAAATAGGCGGATCGACATTTAAATCTTAAACAAATTTGAATAGTTCACTAAATACGAAGGGTGTTACAACACTTACCCAACTATAACATTCAAAACATAAGTTATTATAGTACATACTTGTTAAATTGATCGTAGGGTATGCATTAGCATTAAGCCTTTTTGTGCCAGGACTTGAGCAATCACTAGCAAAATGTTTCTCACAAATAAATTTTTTATTATATACTGTTATTGGATCCAAGTTGTTCAGACCTATTAAATTCATCCACTTTACCAGTCTTTGCATGTCTGTTCTTGGATTAGGGAATCGGTGACAAAGAACATCTAGTACAAAACCAGATAACTAATTGGTAATAGGCACTAGAATATTCTATATTATACATTTATGTCATATATGATATACCTATATAATTTAATATAGTCATTAATATCAAGAAGATGTCAAACCTGAATTTGTTGACACTGTCTTACAAATGTAGAACATATCAAAATATAATGTTCATTCAGCATAATCGATTATATTAATAAAAGCTTATAAGAATTTTTAAGGAATTTTAATTTATAAGAATTCCCGAGATATTTTTACATTTAGGCTATACAATTTACTATGGGTACATTCACTCTAATATTATAGATCACAACACAAATCGATTCTACTGAACAAAAATATTAAGTAATAACTAAATATACCTATGGAATACCTATGGTACCTATGGTACCTATGGAATTATTTAAATACCCATTTTCTGTAAAAATATAATACTGTAAGACTTAAAATGTATGAAAGTAGTTCTACCTAACCTACTTTCTAGGTATATCAAAACATATTTTATTAGTGTATACTGTATAATGTGATTAGATAGAAAAATGCTATAATTTTACTATGATATTGACTAATTATATTTGGTTTCATAATTGGCCATCAGTAATGAAACAGCATTTTACAATCGTATAATTTTATTATAATAAAATGTACCTACCTATAGAAAAATCGGTTAATTATCAAAAGTTCTTATAATATATATTATATTAGTCTTAAATGGTTAAGTGTATTTTACGCTATCGACTTTATAATAGGTACATACCTTTTGATTTACAGTCATTCACCACACACTTCAACGCATTTTTGGCAGACATAATTGAAAATAAGTGTTTATTGTACAAATAATAAGTAGGTAAGACGTAAAATACTAGTTATTAGTAGGTATTATAAAAGTTAAAAAGACAATTAATGACAGTTGAAAATTTGAAAATGAGAACGGCAATAAATTAGGTGATCATAACAGACTAGCAAGTATTCAGTAATCGGAATATGAAGACTCAATGGCGAACGCTAAAGCAGCTGCAGTGTTGCCGATTATAATTCTCATATTCCGCTAGATGGCGTTCAAAAACCCATTAAAAATTACACTATAAAATTGGCGTAAAATTACACCAAATTACACTAAATTTTAATAAAATCCACCAAATTTCCCACTAAATTTTTTTTAATAAAATTATTTATTTTAGAGCGGTGCTAAACATAGGCTAATTATTAATTATTAATGAATTATTAATCACAATCATTATATTCACATGAATTAATAATACATAATAATTAATTCAATATATTAAATAATATGTTAACTCTCTAACTTTTATTTCATATTTTCATACCATTGTTCATCATTTAGTTAGATTTGAGAAGTTAAGACTTAAGACTAATATTTTTAAATTATACAGGTATTAGGTTTATATTTAAATATATAGTATAATCTTCTGAGTGCTGACTATAGTTAATAACACTAATAAAAAAGTACCTATATGGTTAAAAATCTTTAAATCATTTATTGTATTATTCAAATAAATAGTTAAATATAATAAAGTATAAACTATCATATTAAATTAACAACATCATAATTTATAATATTATTAATAACAAAATTAAAATCAGAACATCCTTATTCCTTGTTCGAATCACTGTTTGATACCTAAGTACATCTAATAAATAGTTGCAATGCCTATTACAATTATTAAATTATTTATATCAAATTATAATTATAGCCTATAGGTAAAATAAATATAGTGGTACAATTATATCAGGCACGTCTCAATGTCTGTATCCCATAAATTGTTGCATTCTTCGTCATCACACATATCATAAGCTTTCATAGTACCTACCTATAAGAAAATGTATTGAAAATATTAATAATTAATTAAGCTATAATAATAAAATAAATTACCAATTTGAAGCAAGACATCATCAGGAAATTTAAAGCTATTGCAACATTTTCCCTGTCTTCGTAAACCTGCGCGAATCGACAAAATGGCATTTGTGGTCGTATTAGATAATTTATTGCGGATTTTATTTTTCACCAAATTCGTCTGGCTAAAACAACGTTCCACCTCTGCATTTGACCACGGGAGAACTAAAAGACATTTAGCTAATTTGCAAACTTCATTGAAAAGATTTTCACCTAAACTGTCCTTATAGCCACTGATCTCAGTCCATAAGGACTCAGTTGATTTTGTTGAACTCCATTGTACAAGGTTTAATTTTTGCCACTGTGCTTCAATTTTTGTTATATCATTAGATTTAAACATCATTCATTTTGATAATGGTACAATTGAATCTTTAGTTGAGTTTAAACATTTTTCCGGAGATAAAAGTGATGTATTTTTCAATGGCTTTATATTGTCTGGAAGTCTTTTTTGAAGTTCAGTGACAAGGTTTATTATAAAATTGATCACTACACCACGGATTATCTTTTCAACATCTGGCTTAATTTTAAGTGTTCTACATTTTTCTTCAAACTCGTATCCAAGGTGTGGGTAAGGATGTAAATAATTTTGTATGTTAACTTCTAATAAATTTGCTCTACATTCTGGTGTGACAACTTTACGAGCTAGCCCTTCAATAAATAAAACAAGATCATCTAATAATTTGGTTCGGTCTGCGGTATTCGATGGAAATAATTTATTTATATGCTGTGCTTCAGATAAAATTGGCTTAAGGAGAATAAAATACAACTGGTTATTTACATCACTGTACATATTATAGGTACAGTGTTTTTGTTTTATAACACTTTTCTGTTCTACCGGCTTCCTTAAAGTGTTCTTTTAAAGTCACCCATTGATCAAGTACTCTAGATACAGCAACTTCTATAGATAACCATCGCCCGGCAACGACGACGATTGTTGTACGATGAATCTATACGGCACAAAACGCTCCTATAGAGTTGCACCAGTCTGGCTTTACTGTTCGTACGTTAGTATTCGACATATTTTGTTGTTCGACTTTTTGACTAGGTGATTCGCAGAAACTATCGGTTATCGTTATCGAATGCCACAGTCATAGATTCATAAAATTAATACTATACATTATTAGGTACCTAATGTCCTAATCCTAATGGCTAATTTACTACTACTATGGTAGTATGGTACAATTATTATGCTATAGCTATTAGCTATACAGTATAGCCTATACTGCTAAGCTATACGCTTATCTTATTACTATTTGTATTGCTCGTCGGCATCGCCACATCGACGACGGAAATGTTAGTCTGTTATTTATAACTTTGGTTTCAAGTTTTAAATATGTTTCATTTTATTCTTTTACAAAAATTCGTAAATTATAATTTAATTATACGGAAATAACGGGATTAAAACGGGATAAAAAGCGTCCCGTTCAAATTTTCTCTTTACAACGGGACATAATGATCAAAAAAGGGACAATCCCGTTTTAAACGACCTGGGACCTGGGATGTGCCTTGTTCTACAGCCTCTAGGGATACATTCCCTCGACGTTTGCTTGACTATCTCTACAAACTTTCCGTAATTTTCTACGGTTGCTGCCAAGGTCTTCACTTTGATGTCTACTTCTTCCGAGAATTTGAGCCAGTTTGCTTTTTGGAAATTATATCTCCTTTGAAACCTTATTCTTGACGTCGTTTTAAATAGTATAGGGCGGTGTTGTGAACGTGATATATGATTGCAAACTTGCTTGAAGGTCTGTTGTTTTATATTTTCACTTATGAAAATTATGTCTGGGTTGTATCCTTTATTCCATCTCACACTGTTAAAAGACTATTTAAGCTTGGGATCATAAATGACTTCAAGGGGTTGAGCGTAATAGTGGCCTATTCCATCAAATGGTTAATGTGAGTAATACACGTTTTCAATTTCTCTGAAAATTTGATTAAAAAAATCAATATTTAAAAACGAATTAAATTTAACTATTGTTTCATATTAAATATTAATACATCTAAGACATAATTCTAAGAGTTATTTGGGAACAAAACATACAAAATTCCCCAAATTTTTGTTGGATAGGCCACTTTTGCGCTCATGCATAGTTATAGCTTACCATAAAACATGTTCTTGGGCCAGCTGATATTGTAATAAAAATAATTACAATCTATAATAATATAATCCAATTTGAACCTTTTGTCAAAATAATATGTTATTACAAATAGGTATCTAATAAATAATGAACAATGTATATTTTTTTATTGTTTTAAAATAAAATCACAATATTTTTTAAAATTAAATAATAGTAACTTAATTTTAGTATCACTTTAAAAAATATGACTTATAACAAAAAAAGAACAATTCAACCTTTTAATATTTTTATTATAACTGTAAAATCACAACGTTCTTAAAAATGAATTATTAATAGTTAACAAAAACTTTAAAAATTATGACTAACAAATAAAAATAACTTCTGTTAATATTATAATATGAAAAAAAAAACAATTCAGCCTTTTAATAGTTTTATTACAACTGTAAAATCACAACGTTCTTAATAATGAGTTATTAATAGTTAACAAAAACTTTAAAAATTATGACTAACAAATAAAAATAAGTTAATATTATAATATGAAAAAAAAACAATTCAGCTTTTTAATAGTTAAATTACAACTGTAAAATCACAACGTTCTTAAAAATTACTTATTAATAGTTAAAAAACACTTATAAAAATATGACTTATATTTTTGAATTACCAAGTACATAAAAAAAGTTCAAATTAATAATAGTCTAAAAAATACATTTTTAAAAAAGTAACAATATTATTTTTTTTTTAGATTTTTATAGAATTCATGATGTATTGGAGGAATAAACTGTAATAATTCCATGAGGTCATTATATTTTTCATTACTAATTGCCAGCCCATTGGGATAATTCTAATTCTTTTGGTTTTGCCATCAAACGTTTGGAAAAGTTGACAGAAATAAATGCAACAAACTCATTATTAGAATATTTAAAAAACATTTTGTAAGGTTTATCTTTTACAAAGTACAACCATTGCATTTTCATCCATTCTACTTTTTCTCCATCAGCATTAACTTTTCTATTGGTAATATCTTTTTCTAGTAATACAGTATATCTGAAATCTTCTTGTCTCATCTGAATAACCTTAAACGGATTTTTTTTTCGAGCACTTTCAATAACTTTTATCCAGTCATTTGGTACATAAATATTTCAGAGTGATACCTTTTTTCTTTTTCAATCACTCCAAAATCCCTATCACAGGCTAAGTAAGAGTGTCCTGAAACTAGAAACTTATGATGTATTTCAGTGGGTAAATAGTCATTTGAGCCAACTACAAAATTGCAAATTAAGGCCATTTTTATATTCCGGTTTTGTCCTCCGCATTGATCACTAAACATAATAAGTTGTTCTGTATGTACATAGTTTTTTATGAAATGTAACAAGCATGATCCAATTTCTTGTGGTCCACGTGATGCCATGGATTCATTCCAGACATACATATAAGCATCGTTCGTAGTTAAATTATGTATACCTAAATTGTATGTACTTAACTGTCTTTTATATTAAGCCACTCCAACAGAAAGGGATGGAGTAGAGAGAGTTTTCATTAGATCAAAAGCTATAACAGTGACTTTATTAGGATCAGTTTTACATAATTCTACATCATAATTCATTCCATTCCGAGCTGATTCTGCTTTTCTAAGGTGTAACTCATGGTCAGCATTTAATTGTATTTTTTCATTTTCAGGAGCTACTTTAATTTGGTTCTTATACATGTCACACCTTTTACAACTGTCTGAGACAGGTGGATGAAACGATAAATTAAAATCTCTGTTAAATGTTTTTCTAAATGTAAACATAGAAACTGGTTCATTATTAATTTCTTGTTTGTACGGATTGTACATAATAGAAATATTTAAATTAGGACTTAAATAGTTCTTGTTCATATTATCATTTCTAGAGTAATGCGATGTAGAAGTTGGAAATTTCTTAATGAATTCTCTAACTTCAGAAATTTTATCAATAGGAACTTTATTCACAGCATCTCCTCTACCACGGCGATCCAAAGGTGGAGTAGTTCCTTCAAGTTTACCAACTAAGGCTCTAGTAATACGACCATCTGATATGTTAAATGATTTTTTAAAAAAATCTTTACATACTTTTATAGTAATGCCCGTCTCTAATGGCAAATAATATATACGACTAAACTCTTTACATGAATCACTACCATTCTTAACATAACTTCTTTTTTTTTTAATAACATTGATGAGACTACATAGATATGAAGTTTGTAGATCGTGACTTCCTAAGGAGTAGTATGAATCAAATATTTTTTTTTTTTGATCAATTGTAAGTAAATCGTGACATTTTTCATTACATAAGCACTGAATATCTTTATATTGTTTTGCTGGAATTATTTGACTCCTACTGCTAATATATTGTTTACCTGAATTTCTTAACGATTTTCTTATATTTCTTATCCATTTGGTTTCGTTTTTAAGTCTTTTCCGGCCTTTGTTTTCGCCATCACTAGGTTTATTTTGTACATCATCAGCTTGAATCTCACTTTCAGAACTTGTGTCATTTGATTCCGATGGCACATATGATGTTGACGAATATTCATCTTCGGAATCTGTGAATTGAATATTTAGATCTGTTAAGTTTTAATATTAACATTATTGTATTATTTTTATGAACAGTACATTCAATAATATTTTATTACCTTTAGACATTGTGAAGGTTGCTCTTTAATCTTGAACGGACTCACACTTAAAAAAATGTAGGTAACTACTAACTAGATTATTTTACGATAACACGAATAATTATTATTTATTATGATACCACAATGGCTTATCAAACAATGTGACTATAATGTTATGATAACAACAGTGGCCTATTCCACATACAGTTGAATATAGAGGTCTCGATTACACGTGTAATGAACTACACGGGTACCCGTGTTTTTACACAAGACGGGGTTAAGGCCCGTGTAATAAAAATACCCGTGTATACCCGTGTATTTAAATACCCGTGTATCTAAATACCCGTGATCTTGAATACTCTTATATTTAAATAAAATCATATTTTACTATTTTGCAGTTCTGACTTACGATTGCTCCACTTCCTGAATTCAATATGATAGAACACATCATATTATATTTTGTTCACTACCTCTTAGTATTTTGCGTCATAACATTTATCAATAATATTAATAAATTATAATAAGTAAATAAATGTGTATATGTAATTGATGTTATTTACGTATAATTGATGGTGAAAAGTATTTGTATTTTCACACATTATAATATTTTAAATTTCGTTTTTACAAAAAAAGTTGTATTTGCATGATTATTAAATAACAAAATAACAATAAACATGTATATAAATATATTAATAAATTAATAAATTCTAATAATAACAGTTTTAACAGTAATAACAATAATAATATAGTATAAAATAAATACAAAATAATAATAACAATATTAAATTAATCAACGACCAGTAGACGGTAACCCATATACTTATACAAAAGTTAACAAATACAATATAACAAAGCAATCACTTACAATCTATGAAGTTATAATAATTGTTTGTTCTGGTGAAGAAAAATCAGCATGTTTACGGTCTCGGGCGCCAAACAACTTCTCTTGGCCGTCACTATGTTTCCAGCGGTTGAGAAACATCTTTCAGAACTAACTGACGTTGCTGGTATCCCTAAATATTTCGTTGCCAGAGCAACAATTAGTGGATATTTTGATGCACGCGTCTTCCACCATTCTAGTGCATCAAAATCAAATTTTAATTGTGGTTCTGCCAAGTAATGTTGATACTGAATGTCATAATCAGCTGTATTACAATTTACTTCATCACCGAACAGAAATTCAAGAGCACCGTGATGTTTAGTGACAGGTGTTTCAATTTGCACATCGCAATTAATTTCAGCTATTTCTTTTATCAAATTTTTAACCCGTGTCCGAATTTCTTCTCTTGCATCAACCGTTTCATGCTCTAAGTCCTTGAATCTTGGGTCGAGGAAAGACGCTATTTGCCTAGCAGACACGACACTAGAAGGACACCACAATAATTTAAAACGATCTGATAGTTCCCTAATTACAGTAGTTTTAAAATGTTCAGTTATTTCATCATCACTTACATTATTCTTTAAATGCTTTTCTATAACTGCGTTTATAAGAGGCCTAACCATTGAAATAGAGCAATATTTTTCGCCACAAAAAACCGTGGTCATAATTTGTAGAGGTTTAAGCAATTTAATTAACGTTTCTACATCTGTCCATTGGTGCTCTGTCACTTCAAATTTGTGTGCCATTGCTGCTGTAGTCAACGAACGATCAGCAAGAACATTTGAAATTGGGCACCTATTTTTATAAAGTCGATCAAGCATCATATATATAGAGTTCCATCTGGTTTTACAGCTTTGAATTAAGCTTTCTGTTGGTAAACCTAGTTGGTCTTGCTTATCTTTTAAATACTGACTAGCTAAATTCGAATGCTTAAAATGACAAACAATCTTACTGCATAATTGAATTAAGATATCTATTTTATCATATTTTAGGCCATTATTGACAGCAAGTTGTAATGTATGTGCGGCACATGTTAAATCATCCTTTTCGGTAATATTATCCAGTAAATTAACAGCATTCAACACATTTTTCGCATTATCAGTCACAACTGCCATAATTTTTTGGTCGATTTCCCATTTATTAAAAGTAATTTCTAATTGATTCGATAGATTTGAAGCTGTATGACGATCGTCTAATTTGTGAGTTGTCAGGGTATATGATTTTGGGCACCATTGATCATCAATAAAATGTGCAGTAACTGTTATGTACGATTCTTGAGCTATTGATGACCAACAGTCAGATGTACAACTTACACTCCTGGCATCATTAAGTTCTTTTTTTATTAGAACTTCAACCGACGATTTTAATCCTTTGAGTCTCTGTTTGATAGCACCTTCCTTGCATATTATATAATTTGGTTCTACTATGCTCATAAATTGTTTAAAACCGGAACTAGAACAAAAGGATAGAGGCATTTGATTGATTGCGATCATTTTAGCTAACGCCTTATGGATTTGTTCTGTTCTTTCAGAATTACAACTTCGGTTTATTTCAAAGTTCTTATCAACATAAGTTCTACGTCGTTTTCGGGGTTGTGGTCCACAAAATTCTGATGATGAGGATGAACAATTAGTATTTAAATTATTTGAGGATGACGATGAACACTGTGTTACACTATCAACTGTATTACACTCTTCAACTTCATCATGAGGATTATCATCACTAGGAAATAAATTAAAGTACAACAATAATAATTACAATTACTTGAATCAATTTTATAGGAATAGTAAATGGATGATAAGATTTATACATTATGAAAAGCGTAAAATATATTATATTATAACTTATATATGTATTAATCATTATTATTGTTAACGTTATTGTAAATATTGTTAGGGCTAGTCCAATGTATGTGGTGTGAAAAATATACAAATCATATTATGTCAATGTCATCATATGTGTTGTCCAAATTTGCAACTTCGAGTAACCTACTCCTGATCTTTACCACTACGGTGCAACGTTGCTTGAATATGATAATATATAAAATTAAGCTTTTCAAGAAAAAATAAAAAGCGGGTAAGTAAGTGGATGTCACTCTGCTGTACAGTATAGTTTACAAGTGGTTTACTGTAATGGATGGTATTAAATTCCATTCATTATGGAATAATGATATAATATCATTGTATACGAAAAACGATTCTGGTCGGAGACGAGTTGTCTGTGTAGGCTATTTTATACAATATTAATTAATTATTTTTTAAAAAATATTTAGGTATCTATAAAATAAATTTCAAATTAATAAAATTAGATTCATTATGTTACGTGGAACCTTGTTTCAAATTTTCAATTCTTAGCTATAAAAGCTAAACATTTTATACATTTTTAATAACTTAAAAATTTGAAATTTTCAATTAAACAAATTTCGTCAAAATTTTAACTTTAAATGGTTATAAAAAAAAATCCTGCCTATGTATTTTTAATATTTTCTATCTGCTATTATATAAACTTATGGGGAACCTTGTATTAAATTTTCAAGTTTTTTGACCCAACGAATAAAATTTTATTGTCATTTATAAAAAAAAACTAAAAATGATTCAAAATTTCAAATGTCTATAAACAACTTGAAAAGATTTGAAAATGTTTGAAAATTTTATCATGTATAGGAAAAGCCAGTATAAACATTCTGTGAAATGTTTCTACGGTAATTAGTTTTAGAGTTACACCAATATCTAAAATCGAATATACTAGATTTATCTAGAGATTTAATAAGTACAGATACTATACATAGGCGTAACTTAAATGTGTGCATTATTTTATTATGTTGGTACTAAAAGTTAGTAAGCAATAAATCTATAATTTTGTATTATATATATTTGATGAAACAATTAATTTTATCA